ACCACCGGTCTGAATCCATACAGAAGCATTCCAGGCCATGCAATTGATCCAAAACATAGATCTAGCCTCCTACAATCCATCCATCACGTAAAGTGGCAAACTTTACGTGAATCCAAAGAGATCTAGGCCTTATTCACTTTAGAGCTAGGATTTGGGACATGATGGCTTCACTAAGCACTCAAACACAGGGGCTTTAATGCTCTCTAGGCCTCCCCCATTCCAGATCTGAGGTAGCAACCTCAGATCTAACCTCCAAACTCTAAAACATACAAAGATCCCAAAATGATGAATCCATATGAGTAATAGCCCAAGAACGAGATATTACCTCAAAAGAATGCCCCAACTGCAATGAAACTCGAATCCAAGCAAAGCCCTTTGATCCAAGCCTCTTCTCCTTCAAGATTTCTTCAACAAACACCTCCCCAAGCTCCAAATGCACTCCAATCTTCCACAATCACGCTTTCTAGGGTTTCTGGACTTCAAGGGGGATCAAAGAGGCTGGGGAGAGGATATAATGTCCTTTAAATAGGGCTCATTCCCCGGATTTAGGGTTTTCTCCACTCAGCACCTACTCGCTGAGTCCATCTTTGGATTCGCCGAGTAGGCCACTTGACTCGCGACCAAAGTCGCGACCCTACTCGCCGAGTCCATCCATGGACTCGCCGAGTTGCCCTTCAAAATTTACACTTTTAGTCCTTCAACTCTACTCTTGCTATTCTGGGATGTTACAGTTTACGATCAATATCAGAGTTGTACCAGACGTTTTCTGAATACAAACATGTGCAAGCTTTGATTCATTCTTCTTCTACTTAATTCTCATATTAATTGATTGTTAGATTGTTTGATCACTGATTAAGATCATGTTTCAAGGACCTTACAATTGGCATCAGAGCAAGTTCGGTGTCAAAACATCTTTCAATCACGTTTTCGGTCAAAGGAACTTAGCTTCATCATTGTTCGAGACTTCATTTGGTGGTTACGTGACAAAAGGAAATCAAATCTGCTAAAAATTCAAGTTTTCATCACACATCTGTGCATTTACGGCCATGAGTTTACGACCGTAAACCCCTATTGACCTTAAACTCTTTTTGGTAAATAAAATTTTGAATATTTTTTTAAAAAGGCCTAACTAAAATGATTATTGAGAAAAACATAAATTTCAATTGATTAAATATTTTGTTTTCTCACTTGGCCTATTTTTGTGTAGACTAAAATGGCAAAACTCAAACTTGCTGACAGTCACAACCTAGCAATCCTTCTGGTTGAACCTCCTGTTGATCATGGAGAGTTCAAGTCAATGACTCATGGGTTAAGGCAATGCTGCTTGTCCACTGCTCTTACCGTGAGTCTTGTAGTCTATCAAGGAATCATCAAGGAGTTCTGGAAATCTGCTAAGTTGAAGAGAGGAAATGATAGATCGATATATGTTGAAGCTGATGTAAAAGGGTGCAAAGTTATCATAACAGAGCAATCCATCAGAGGCGCCTTACAAATTGACGATCAATCTACCTTCCCTACTGAAATTGCAATTGATGAAGCTCAAGAAATTCTTCACAAGATGGGCTATGAAGGCGAATTTCCTCTCATAATAAAGAAACTACTGCCACCTTACTGGAGATTCTTGGCTTACATCTTTGTGAACTGCATATCTGGGAAATGGACTGGTGCTGATGAGATCTAATTAAGAAACACAAGAGCCATTACCGCTCTTGCTGCAGGAATCAATTTCAACTTCTCAAAGTTTATCCTGGATGAATTTGTTGTGAACATCAACACGAAGACTGGAGACGCATTCTTTATGTATCCTGGGTTTATTCAGGTATTCATTGATGTGCAATTTCCTGAAATAGTCAAATACGGAGAAACCCTGGATATGAAGTCTCTTGGTCCACACACTCTTGGGTTGATCAAACAAAATTGAAAAGGAAAAGTCGTTTTTTAAGGAAAGTTTCCCCTGGTGAAGTTTGGCAAGTTTGCTGAGTTGAATGAGCCATCTGAATCTCATGAGTCTTCAGACAGAGTATCTTCGGAGTGTGTATCTTCAGAACAGGTGCTTTCAGAAGATGATGTCATTATAGCTTCCGATCACGAAGATGATGAAGCTACACCTGCTGCCATTGTAGCTGAAGAGCATGGCCCTCATTTTGTACAGGTTGAGAGTGATTTCAACGAAGAAATTGATTCTTTTAAGGATTTGGATCTTTTGGGCTTTGATGAGGATGATATTCCATTGAATCTTGGAGGAAATGAAAATCTCTTGTCAAATGAAGATCTTGACTCTTTCTTTGACACTATCCATGATGTTGCTCATCCAGCAACGGAGATAAGGGAGTCAGAAGACGTTCTTGAGACTACGCCTCCTTCTCCAAAATAAATGGCTGGAACTTCAACTCCTATGGAGACATCTTCAGAGATTCCTCTCTCTGAGAATGTTCCTCCTACTATTGAGCCAACAGTGAATGAACATCTGACAACTCAGACCTCCTCGCCTGCATTGAAAAGGAGAAGACTTGATCCTAGACTGGGTATATTTGTGCCTGAACTATATCAAGGCCTATCAACTCCACCAATTACTACTTTTGTTGAAACTTCACCTATTCCATCCAATGAAGGACCGAGCACATTTTATAAAGCTGGTGGTTCCTCAGTTCTTTCGGGATCATCTCCTATTAGGCCCTATCATGATGTTGCCTCTAAGAGGCTTGCTCTACATTTGGCCCACGAATAAAGCTCGATGCCTTCCTCCCGAGCTAAGGGAATTTTTATTGAGGAAGGCCACTCAAAATAGGATGATCCTACCATAACTAAACTTTTTAAGGAAAACAACGTGCTTAATCAGAAGAATATTGAGCTTGATATCCGGGTGGCTGATCTTGAAGCTGAAAAGGTCCAACTTAAAATTCAGGTTGCAGATCTTGATGCGGATAAAACCCTAAAAACTCAGCAAATTTAGGATCTACAAACCCATCTAGGAGCCTTGACTGCAAGTTATTTTGATCTTAATAAGAAGCTGGCAGAAGAATTTGGCGACAAATTCAAGTCTTCAGTTCAACATTTCAACACTGGCCAGTCTGCTGATCAACAAGGTCAAGAACCCCCTGTTGACCCGCCCATTCAAAGAAGAACTACGATTGTTGATCGCTTCGACAAGGAACCAGCTCAAGCAGCAAACATTGTTGCACTCAAGCGTTCTGACAAGAAAAAGCAACTTCTTTTCAAGAAATCCTCTGGTCCGAATGCTCCTAGAAGTCAACCCAAAATCATCGTCACTGATCTTGAAAAGAAGAAATTTGGACACAGGTATGGTGATAGGACATGAATTGTCTCATGGGGCTTTCATGACGAGCTAAACATGTGGTTAGTGAGACGCAAAAGCAAAAATGTGGAGTACTACAAAGACTTCCATGATTTCAGTTCCTGGACTAGGGTTGATCTTTCAGAACTAGCAAGTGCTCCATTTCACAAATCCTTCTGGAGATCCAAAGGCAAATCATTTCAAGATGTTCTTGGAGGATCAAGTAAAGAAAGGATTCTCTGGTATGAATATTGCTGAGTCTTTTATTAAGAGCTTCTCTAATGTACTGGATCCCAAGACAAATAAGCCTTTTCAGACTGTTATGTGGCCACCAACCAATCAAGTTAGGCAGATTTCGGTGTTGCAGAACTTTAATGATGGATCTCTCGCTAAAATGCATTACTAGGTCTATGATGAAACAACTGTGACTGCTATCATAAAATTCCAAGATGGTTGCTTTCGCATATATGACAAAAACGACCTACTTCAATTTGGCAAGTGGGATATTCATCAATTGGCCCTTCATCAGATCAAGGTAGCTGAAGATATTTTCAAGCCTGCTGCGAAAGAGTACACAACAATGGTTGCTGAAATTATTGCAAAGGAGTTGTGTCAAGGGGCAATGGGAGGGTCTAACGTGCTTATAATGGAAAAAGATTGAGTTTCAGCTAGCCCCAAACCAAGGGGGAGATTGAAGGGTCCATGTTATAGTTTGGGCTAGGCTTTTGGATGTATATGTCATTTGTACTTTGAGTATTGTAATAGAAGTGTTTTTGGTGTGTTTACGGCCAAGAGTGTGTTTACGACCGTAAACCTGTTTACGGTCATGTTTTCTTCCCTATATATAGGATCAGTCTGTGTCTGTTAGTGGTTGTTGATGATCCATAGAGTTTACGGTCATTATCAGAGTTGTACCAGACGTTTTCTAAATACAAACGTGAGCAAGCTTTGATTCATTCTTCTTCTACTTAATTCTCATCTTAATTGATTGTTAGATTGCTTGATCACTGATTAAGATCATGTTTCAAGGACCTTACACTAGCCAAAGTTCCAATTTCAGAGGAGAATGGCTTGTATTTATAGTTTCCCGAAAATAGATCACCACGACATAGTAAGGCCAACACATAGTGGTCTTCGTTGTTATCTCGTATTCAACAAGTCTCCTTAATCAATCGAGAAAGTCCAAAATGCCACGTCGTGGGAAAGGCACCACGACATGGAGAGTGTATTTTTTTTCCTCATTTTAAAGTCTTGATTCAAACTCCTAGCTTCCAACTTCCTTTTCCAAGCATATCTTTTACCCCGACAACACATTATACAACAAATTAAGTATCTTTTGTTCTATAAAGGACATAAAAATAATTAGAAACATTAAGATATGATGTAAAATTATATGTATAGATATGCATATATCAAACATCGTCGGGTAGGTTACACAACATGGTAAGTAACTCAATAAAGGACCTTTGATATTCATGAACCGACCCGACTTGAGTAAGAGATAGCAATTGCTCTTAGAGCGTACCTGCATAGATCGGTCGGAATTGCCAGAGTAAGAGCGATTTCATCTCATTCCATCATGTAATGGGTCGTTTTTTGTGTTCCTATTGAAACCAAAGGAGCTCATCTCCTTCCAGCGCCACCACCATTGCCTCCACCTCGTGTGTTTCTGAGAGCTTATAAAAGTTGAAGAACCACTCGACTCTTAAATCCAACCATCTAGGTTTTCTCCATCAAATAAATGCATATCTAGATTCTGGAATCGCCAATTGGTTCCACCTCTATAATTATCTCGTTCGTCACCATGCCCTCCTCCTGATCCACCACCACTTCCAGACCCCCCGCCACTCTTCGGGGTCCTTTTTGGAGTTTCTTCATCCGTTTTAATGAAACTTACGGACTCAGAGATGGTGGTTTGGATGGTTTCCGTTTCTATCTCTGTGAAATTTTTGGTAAGGACTTCCATCTGTTCACAGATCTGAGATAAGAGTTGAGCTTTAAGATTGTCTTGCAAGCTTGTCATTGTTCCTTCATGGATTCAATTCTTCTTCTGCAACCTCCACTCTAACCCCCCACAGTATCAGTCTTTGGTGGAACCATCGATACTCCAAGGAAAGACGTGCTCTGATACCACTTTGTAAATGATTGGTTTGCTAACACACAATAAAGAACTCCAAAAAAGAAATATTGTTGTATTGATATTAGGAATTGAATGATATGAAAACAAGGCTAATAACAATCATAGACACAAATAGAAAATACTAGGAAAATAAGATAGAATTAGCACTCTGAGAAGCTAATGGTCTTCTAGGTGAAGAAACTTCTAATATTCTCCAAGATTGCCTTCCTCTAAGCCATTCTGCTAGCCTTTATGCACAGTGATGACAACTAGTGTGTTAATGACCATTTTACCCCTTGGTCCAATTGGAACATTGATAAGTCCTAATTCTAGCTTATTAAGCCCAGCCCTCCTATGGCCCATCAAAGGCTCCCTAAGGGCCAATTAATTGCCCAATTTCTGAATTGGGCCTTATGCCCCAAATGGGCCCAAAAAGTTCCAAGTCCAAATATAATAATTCCAAAGAGTCCAATCATGTCCCAATAGGTCCAATACTCTAGTTCTATATTTTCAAGTCCAAAATTATACTTCACAGTGGGCCACGGGGACCAAAAGTCCAAGCCTAGTCCCTTAATGCCCAAAATACCAATATATCCACTCGGTATGCGTACGCGCGGCGTACCTGGCACGTACGCCCAGCGTACCCCTTGACCAAAACAGGGAGTTGACCCAGTACGCGCGGTGTACCAGGGAGTATGCGCGGCATACCAGGGAGTACGCCCGACGTATTGGCCAACTTCCTAGGGACTTTATTCATGACTTAATCCAGTAAGTCCTTACAACCAAACTGTAGATCCAGGTTCTTTAAGACCTCCAAAACCATAAAGTCACAAACTTTATGTGCTTGCATGCATGGTTGGGGTCAAAACATGATTTTGGTCTATTTAACAAGCTTCAAGACCAACTAGCACTTGCATGGTTGTGGCTCAACCATCAAGGTTCGATTTTTATGACCTTTGGTGCCTTTAAGAGCCTAAAAGGACAGCTCTTAGGCTCTGAAATCGTAAAGATACAAGAAGCCTCAACAATAAAGTCCAAAAGTGACCTTAAACACCCTCATAAACAAATCTAAGCATACAATGGCCAAGTATGGAACTTGATACCTCAAAAGGGTCAAAAATAATGTCAATCCTTTGGATCTACAAGCTCTTGGTGGATCCTTGCTTCTTCTCCAAGCTTCTTTTTTCCCTTCTCACTAACACAACACACAAACACTCTCAAATGGCTTCCAAAACACAAAGGCACACAATAATGAGCTAGGGTTTTCGTTGGGTGAAGGGAGGCTGAACCAACAGGGGTTATGTTCTTTATATAGGGAGTAAACCCTAAATTTTAGGGTATAAAGAGATGCACACGTACGCTGGGTGTACTCCTGGTACGTTGGGCGTACATGGCAATATATGCCCCGCGTATGAAGCTTCCTCAACCTACTTATAAAGCCCAAACCAAACCATTCCACACTTCAATTAAGATGATTAATAATAATACCTGGAAAATCCCGAATGTTACAATTGGTGGGTGCACTACATATAATAGGGACCCCAAATATCACAGTGTATGAGAGAAAAACAATTTTCTTCCATGTTGTTCATTGAAACAAAAGGCAATTATTTTTGTTTTTCTAGTGGACATACAGAACAATGAGAGAAACAAATTTGGTATAATTGACTTAACATATAACTGTTCTTTTATTGGGAACAAACATTTACTTAAGGGGTGACCTAATCTACTGTGCCAAACATCAGGATAAACTACATTAATTCTTGCATTCTTGGAAGTCCTTCTATCACCCAACACATAAAGTTGTTAATAAAAATCAGCTTTGCCAATCATCTTCATGTCCCTAATATCCTGAATTCGAGCATGATGACAGATAAGCTGAATCATGAGTCTTTGATCTTTAGTGAGAGCACTAACAAAGATCGAATTTTGATTTAAAAAAATTGCAAAGTGCAAGACATCTTTAAGAATAAACAAATGATCGATTCTAATATCTCAAATAATAGTCAAGGGAAGAGTGATTTTATTTGGAAGGGTAACAGTATAATGATTCACTTGTCTTTTATTCATGAACATGTTAATCCCATGGTAAAGTTGAGTTACCCCTGAATCTATAATCCATTTGTGAGATTTCTGTCCAGAATTAATTGATAAAGAATAACATTTACATGTAGTTGTTTCATCATTTGGATTAACAGTGACCATGTTATTCGATAATGCATACATGACTTATTGACATTGTTCTTGAGAAAATCTTGGCCAAATCGTCATTGATATTGGACATCTGGACATTGGAATCACCTTGGGTATTCACAGCAACAACACAATTTGATCTGTTCTTGGACTTATAACAAGGTAGATACCCATGGAGCTTATAGCATTTTTCAATGATAAAGCGATCTGCATTGCCTGAATCCATGAATTGTAGCTGTCTCCAGATGGGGGCTATCAGAATGAAGTAAGTAGTATGGATGCACTCTGTCATCGATCGGAGAAATGTTGAATCCAGAAGAATTTAACTTCGATAATTGATTATTATTCACCGTGATTAACACAGAAACAATCAATCAAAAATGAAATCGAAACAAGAATTTGAATCAAAATGCAATCAGTGAAAACAATTTACGAATGACTAATTGGAGATTTGAGGAAGATGATTGGAAAAAGCAATTGCTAAATTGATCGGAAGTTTGAGCATCGCTCTGATATCATATCACAAGAGAAAACAAAATGAAGATCGAAAGAGAAAGAGAAATTGTATTCAATCAATCGAGTCTCTTATATCAATAACCACTCTATATAGTCTAACAACCACTAACCACAGTAATGGTTAAATTACATTGAAGTCCTTAACTATCGAATAATGACTAATATAACCCTGATACTATATCTTCCCATTTAATTGAGTTCCCCTACCATTTTTATCTTTTAGCTTTTATAATTATTTTACCTTTTTAAAATTTTAATGAAAATGCATTTTGTTTTCATTTTTTATTATATTATATTATATCAATCAAGCAAACATCTCTATCCAAATGTGGTTTTGTATCAGCCTTTGGATATGCTTAAAAAGTTAAAGTTGGACATATATACAAATTACAATAACTATATTGTTGTGAAAATATGATATATCATATTAGTAATATTACCAAATTGTTGAAAGTAGGATGTTATAAGTATTAAGTATTGTGTAAGATTTAAATATCCTCGTGAACTATATACATACTTAAGACTAAAAGAAAATATATTTCAAAACATTATCAATTTCACTAAAAAAAAGACCTTTTGAACCCATACATCACTTAGAAACACCAATAACATCTTACAAAATCTTATCTTCTATGTAATATGTATGATGGCTACAGCATACAAAAAACAGGAGTAGCCCATATGATGCATATATACATTATATTATATATATCAACAAACTTAACAAAACTCAAAACTTCCCAAAACTCTATATATATAGTTTCATCAAGATCATTCAAAAAGTAGAGCCAGCTGTCCAAGACTAACAAAAAAGGGTCCACGTCCAACAATTTAACCCCCTGAAAGATAGATATATCAACTTATATATATCACAAAAACAATCTTATAAAATATTGAATAAATAGAGTTTAAAAAATAAAGTAAATACATACATGTGATGCCACAAGACTTAGAGCCACATGCAATCGATTTCAACGTCTTTTTTACCTCTTTTTCCCATTTTTGATCTCTTAAAAGATAATCACACCAACATATATTCATCTTGTCTAAAACAAGTCCATTCTGCAAAATACATTTCAAAAAACATATTTCTGAATCATTCCCATGAAAATTCTTGAACGTTAGTGTTTTGAGGGATTTAGGTAGCGTTGACCAAGTCAAATCGTTCTCTTTAAGGCACATGTCATGCTGAAATCCCTGTGACATTGTATTAAACGAAAGTAAATATAAGTATCTAGAATTATTAATGTGATGTGGATTAAATATGTAATTATTTAATTAATATACCTCGGTGAAATTAAGAGATTGTACATTTGGACAGCTGTTGAGAAATTTCATAAGTGCTTCAATGGTGGAGTTCCCGATTTCCATACTCAATTCTAAATGAGTCAAGTTTTCGAAAACTGGAAAATGAAGCAATTTGTTATCTGCAAATACAAAAGACTTCACCAAAAAATAATTAGAGATAAAAAATAAAAAATAAAAATTTAAAAAGGTACAATAAAAATAGTACTTTACTTGATTGTTTTTAATAAAAAAACTTCGTTACCTCAATTGTGCGTTTGGAAACTCTCAAATACCCAACAGTCTGAATTCCATTAAGCAAATCAACAACATGAAATGCGACTTCCTTTTGCCTCTCATGTAAAATCGAAACGCTAATATCCGCTTTCACCAATTTCAATACACCACATAACAAAATCTCATTCGATAAATAACCAGTATACTTGAAGAACACAAGATTCATTGCATCGATCATGATCTTACATCCTCTAGAATCATCCGGAGGCCCAAAATATGGCAAATCGTCGATTGTTAATCTCTTCAAATTGGGACTCGAAATCATAACATTCTTCAAATTCGTCCACTCACAATCAAGCAAAACTAATTCTTCGAGAACCAAACAACCCGCGAAAAGCTTTTGTGTCAATTCATCATCCGGGAATGTAATTAAAGACAAATGTAATGTTTTTAAATGTGGGAAGTTTATGAAAGATGGGATTTGAAGAACGCAATTCATTTCTATCTTCAAAGTGGTTAAAGATCTGCTGGAAAAGATGGATTGAGGGAGTAGAAATGGATCTTCAACAAAGAGGCAGAGATCAAGTTCATGGACATTGTGAATGATAGCAGATGAAATCCATGAATGTATACGAGAGGGATTAAAGCAAACGCGACATGATAAACGAAATTTATGTATGGTTGATGTGTCGCGAAATAAAAGAACTCGATCTACGAAGTTCATGAAACAAATCTCATCGGGTGGATCTTGGCCTTCTATTTCTTTATACAACAATGCGTCGTCAAAGTCTAGATTTGAAACTGAAGTCCAGAGATTTTTCCATCTTTTTGAAAGTATTGAGGTCTTGACATCATCTTTTGTGGGAATAAATGATAGGATATGATGAAGAATGCAATCCGGGAGTTGGCTGATGTCATCAGAATTGCTCATTGTCGCACCTAAATTAAGATTAAGATCGATCAATAAAAATGTAAAAATTAAAGGTAGGCGTACAGATTACGATACTATAAAAGCACAATTCATAATCTGATCTTGAGATAGAAACCCTGAAAATCGAAATGAGGATGTTCGATAGATTATGTAACCCTAGAAATGGTAACATGAGCTGAGTTCATCGAAAATAGTCAAATACTACTATAAACAGCGTGATCAATGCTTCTATTCAATCATCTTAAACCAACTCGAGATTTGCAGAAACACTAAAACCCTAACATAAATCATTCAAGAAGACTGATAATTTCCATTTCCAAAACCACGATGCAGTTGCAGAATTAGACTGTGAAGCGATATCAAGAAGCAAACAAGGGTAATCTTCCATTTTACTTATCTTGATGATCGAAACTTCAAAAACACAAGCACACAGTGATACGAACATATACTGATGATTTATGTATAGAAAAACAGAGAAAGAGGGCTAACTGGTGATTACAGATTAGAGATTTGTCGCACTTACTGACGGTTGATTGATTGGAAAAGGGTAAAGTGCTGCAAAACATTCACTGAATCGAAGAAAGCATGAATCTATATCGAGTAACTGTCGAGGGTTTTGTGAGAAGTGTGTCGAAAACGGGCATGGCGGTTTGTATTGGAAGAAAGTGAATGGGTGAAGACGACGAGACTGATTTTATATCTTTTTTGGGTTTTGGTTTTTTGGGGAAGTGGAGAAGGAAGGGCTTAGAAGAAAGTTGTAGCAAACAAAAACATTCTTTTTCTTCTTTCTTTCAAATTGTTTGCTCCCTCCATTAGTCCATTGCATACAAATTGTTACGCAAAAGACAAAAACATCAATACACTTTTACACTCATTTGATAAAAAAAATTGTTATTTTTGTTGCTAAATTTTGGTATGAGGATGGTGTGTGTCATTTTTACCTACTAACTTTTTTTCTAAAATTAAAAAACTATTAACATTTAATAAAAAAACATTAATATTAATTAAAATAAAACTTAAATTTCATTAATCATAATATTGAGAATTACATTAGAAAAACTAAAATAGAAAACAACATAAAAAAAAACTTTAAAAAGAAATAAATGTGTAGATTAAAAACCTACAAATTAAATTTAAACATAATTGTCGTTTTGACCGCCAATGTCGTTGTTTGATCTTCGGTGTTAAGGTGACTCACGTTTTGCATTAACAACGTTATTTCGATAAGTCAGATAGTTTTAACGATACGTTTCTCTAAAGTTATAAAATTTTAAAATAGAACGTTGATGTTGATGCTCTGTCTTTTACATGTCGATCAACTCTTCTTAATTCGGTTCTTGGAATCATTGGTCTAGTAACATTCAGTTTTTGGGTGCATATGTTGATTTTTAAGTTATTTGAAACTCTCCTTTGTAATTTCCTTTGGGGAGAAATATGGATGATCTAGGTTGGCTTGTATTCAAGATCATGTTTTTTTAACCTCCAAAGACAAAGGAGGGGTTGATATTACTAGTTTGTTTGCCTAAAATTGTGTTTTTCTTTCTAAATGGCAATGGAGGTTCATTTGGACCATAGTTTATGTTTAAATCCTCATATCGGTTTATGCCAAATATGATGTCGACATTTAGGGTACTAAAATCATATAGGGTTGTTTGATTGAACATATGTTGAAACTCCAAGAAAAGAAGGTGAATGTATCTTTTTTTTTATGAGTAGAGTGGTGGGTTGTTCTAGTACACTATTGTAGGAGAACTAGTGGATTGGTGATAGATCATTTTCGTTGTTGTTTTATAAACTTTAAGCTCTTTTGCAACTCGCAAATTGGAGCAAAGTTTCAAATTCTTATATTTTTAGAAACTGGTTTTGGGAACGATTTAGGCATTTACTTGTTGGAAGATATGAAACGAAAATGGCTACTTTCACTAACTTTCTCGACGGCTTTACTATTTTCAGTTTTCACTACCGGCTACCACTAATAAGTACTTTTAAGAATCAACCATTCGAGGCAATTGTATGTGACTTCTTTGCGCAACTTAATTGATTATCATACTTTGGCAATTTTATGCGACTTCTTTACACTAAGTTTTGTCAAGATGTGGGTATCCTTACTTTCTTTTGGACCTTATGGCAATTAAGGAAACTGAAAACGAGACCCTTAATTTTTTGTTATTCTACTTTGACAAAAGACGGTATATTTCACTATATTTTAATTCGTTCTTTTTCTAGGCTTTCTAGTATAATAATAAATAAATAAATAAATAGTGTAAATTAGTTTGCTTGACATGCGAATCCGGCTTTAGGCTTTAACTAGTTTCATACTAGTATTTTATCTTTTAACATATATTTTGATGCCGTTGATCAGAAATAATTAATCATGTATCTACCTCAAATATTCATATGATACTTATATAATTTAATATCAAAACTATCATATTATTCATCAACCTTAAGCTTTCAAGCCATCGGGCCAATGATATATATGACACAAACGGTCATTTTCTATTCTTCAACATTAGACAAAATGATAAACTCATCAATTACTCATATTACAATTCATTCGATCCACAAAATAAACCATTTTACATATAAAATTAATTCTTTACTCCTACATATCAATGCTTAAACATTATGAGAAGCCTCATTGGCACTTACAAGTATCCTAGTTTTCATATCATTCTTCAATTTCAAATCATCAAGATAATGTTGATAAACATACGACCCCGATCCCCATATCGCAAGAATCAACGATATCGCTTTCACTCCATCCATCTTATCTCCAAAAAACACAACTGCAAGAACCGGAACAACCGGTAACCCTAACGTACTAATCACATTCGAAAACAAAGATGAAACTTCAAATATTAATCCCAAAATCCCTATTGAACAAATCTGCCATGCAATAGCTATCCACGTCAGCGTCATTATGTAAGACACCGAACCCTTTTCATAATCTCTACCCTCTTTCTTCAACGTATCCCATTCCCCACTGGCAAAAAGCCCCACCACACAACCACACGTAGCAATAAAGGAAGGGTATATTTGTAATTCTAGCACAACCCTAAAGTTTTCACTCTTGATTACCTTTTGAAATGATAGTTGTAAAAAGGAGAGGTATAAAGAGTATGTGGCGGATGCTCCTAGAGTGCATAAAAACCCGATTATGTATTTTGCTTTTGAGATTTTTGATGGGTTGTCCGAATCGGAATGAACAGCGAGGAGGGTGGCGGAGATTGTGAGGAGAAAAAGTGAGTTGATGATTAAAGAAGTGAACTTTTGTGAGTTGAAAAGAAATGAAAAAACAGCGTTGAATCCTAATTGTGTTGCACAGAGTAAAGAGTAAGTGGAAACAGGAAGGTATTGAAGACCATATGAATACATTAAGTTGTCACCTGTTAGGATTAAGCCGAAGAATAGGTAAAGAAGTAGAAGGGTGGTGGTGGTGGGTGGCGGTGATGCGGCGGAGGAAGTGGTGGTTGGTTGGAAGAAGAGTAGGAGGGGAATCAAGATTGGGAATCCGGCGGATTGGACGAAGGTGGATATCCATTTACTGTTGCCGCCTTTGTCGTAGTAAAGTCGGCCCAAGAGGGTGGCGGTGGCTTGACCGGAGATTAGAAAGATGATATACACCGCCACCCGGAACCACCATCTGTAGTGCTTGAATTTTTGGGTGGGGACTCCATTAATGACGCCATTCGTACCTCCGGGTTGAAGTTCAAGTTCTTGAACTCCATCTGCCATGGAGTTGAAAGGATCTGTAGCTGAAAAAATGGAAGAAGTGGAGTTGTTTACATGAAAGAAATATATAAAATTCAAGTTTGATTTTGTATAGTTTTTTGACTTTTTGGACTTTGATTTTGATGTCTGGTATATGTGATTATCTAATGGTTGGTGATCGATGTCCAAAGTTATGTTCGATTTTTTTTTGTATTCCTCAAGTCTATGTGATAAAGTTTGACCACGCTAAATGTGGTCAGAATTGGTTGCTGTTCTTATTTGTGGTTTAGATATTAGAGAATAATTCGAAAATGGCATAAAGGTAAATAAAGATTGTCATATATAATGATATATTTGTTTATAGGAATATTTTTGGAGTTGCGTGACCAAAATTCTGAATCAACTTCAAGATTCGAAAGTCCAAAATCACAATAATGATTTATATATTTGAAAAAACAAAAACAAAAAGGGTTTGTATTTTGTAATGTAATAAAAGAGGAGTTTAATTTCACCAAAATTAAACTACAAAATAGAATATTAAAATGCATTATTTGTAACAAAAAGCAAATTCACAGAAGAAAATAAAATTTGATGTTTACAGAATAGCAATCTCTATATCAGCACTCTATTTCTTCTTGGCAAAACTTTTCTTTTTGGGCTTTGCATTTTTTTTATATCCTCCTCTTTCCTGTAAAAAAAAACCACAAAATTTTATAAATAAAATATTGATTTGTAACAACCAAATTCATAACATTACTTAACTGACCTAATAATCACAAAAAATAAAAGATTTTTTACATAAAGTTTGTCAATATTAATACCTTTGAATAAAGAATGTAAGCAGCTCTCCCAATCAGCTCTTCCCCATTTTTACTCACATAAACCTAACAAAAGACACAAGGCATTATTTCCTATCACAATTCAAAATCATTTTAAACAGCTATTATAACTTTACAACAAATTTATTAAATATTAATAATAATAATATAACTTACTCTCTTTCCATCTCCATTTGTGAACCAATGGCCAGTAGCTTTACCATCTGCTTGAACCCTTCTTTGTCCAGCATCTTTTGGGACATTTACCTTTGGATTCATTGATCTTTCTTGAGGTTTTGATTTTCTTGGTTTTTTTCTAGAACTTGTTTCAGCTTTATTACTTCCAGAAGCTTGTTTAGAGCTTTCACCACGACTAAATTGACCCCTGAAAACAAAAGAAACATAAAAACAATGTTTGAAGTTATAGACTATAATATTTAAAGAAAACTTAGAGGCAAGCTTACATGTAATCAATGTTTGAAGTTCCAGGTTGTTCACAATCTCTGTTTGTTGCATTCAAAGGAAAGAAATTGGGCAAACGAGATCTAACTAGCTCTTGGATCCTCAAATCATCATGGAAAAAGTAGGTATGAGCAGGGGGGGTAGGAGAAATAGGGTCACTAAGATCTATTATATTGTTTTTGACATGGTTTTTTGGGGGTTTATTGCTTTGAGGTGTTTTTTTAGCTTTCATGGAGTTGAAATATTCATCACAGACTTCATCTAACACAGGTGTTGGGATATGGAAGCTCTTCTCTGGTCTGAAGTCCTCCCAAAGATCTTTCCTGGTTGATTCGGTTGGTTTTTTTGGTTGACCTGAATTCATATAGGAGTTTGATTCGTTGAATGTCTTCCTGTTTGCAGCTTCATTGATAAAATGATCGTCAAAATCAGAATCAGAGTCGGAATCTATCAACTGGAATTTTCTCAGAGGGCTGATGGTTATCTTTGGTGGCTTGTTGCAGGTTGTGATTACAGACTCTGGATCATCTGAGACGTTCTGTTTTCTCTTTCCTGGTTGCTTTGTTAAAACCCCGTGTCCATTGAGTGGGATTTTCGAACTTGTATAGACTGAATGGGGCTGTGTTGAAAGACGTTCATCTGCAGTTAGCAATATAGATAGCATAATGAGGTTTCTCGTTGAGGTGATTTGGGGAAATCGAACACGAGATTTGAATATGATAATGAAGTAAAACGATCTAAGATTGTGTCTAGTTGGATTTCAAATTCGATTCCAGACATGTGATTTCGTTAGGGTTTATAGAAATGTACTTGACTACCAGATTCAAGCCAATATGATGCGAAGAACAGAAAATCAATGCGTTTAAACTTATGTAAATAGCAAATTAAATAAGATCTTAGACCTGTATGGTTATCCTCTGGCGAAGAGAAGTCCTCAATGTCATCGTCATCGACAACCACAGCAGAAAACAAATCCGCCTTGCTCTTAACCGAAGCCGATGATACTGTATCCTCCACCGGCCTCCCTCGCCGGAGGCGCTTCAGTTTCGGAGGTGAATTCTGATTGTCTGTGTCCGAATCAACGACTGTTACGGTTTCAAAATCATTATCATCATCGTCTTCGAGTCCCGTCGCAGCTACGGAAAACCGATTCGGCGCCGTTGGATTTTTACTCTCATTTGCAGTGGTAAGCTGGGGCTCGGAAAAATCAAAATCAAACCCTAATGAGAATGAAGGTGCTCCAAAATCCGCCATTAACACAAATACAGAGCAAGGGTTTCAATTAAAGTGGAAGAGAGTATCATCGGATTCGTATTCTGCAAGTTTTTCATATACTCGTCAACAATGTGGCGCTCTTTTCTTGAAATCATTTCCATGGCGCCATTATTAGCATGTTTTCAAAAAATTGGAGTCCGCCTCGATAAAACTAAATGACCAGATTAGACAGACTAAAATGGTCCTTATAGTTTACAAAATATTATAACTTTAGTCCAACATTAAACTTCGTTACATATGTAGTTTTCGTGGTCTCACTTTCTTATTTGGTTGGTTGTTATAGTTTAATTTATTTTTATATTTGATCTAAAATACTTTTTTACCCCTAGTTTGACCCTTTTTTATTGATTTGCTTTGTATGTTTTAACTTTATGAGAATATTAAATATATAAACCAATCTTCATTTTGTTCATTTTAAATTCTAATCAACCAAGGTTGCCATTGTTTATCACTAAAATCCATTTTTCACTAATGTGTGTCACTACCACATTGTCCTTCGATACCATGAGAATATAGTTGCCTCCCATCACCACTATACCGTCCTTCCAACTCTCATACTTAAAGTTAACGGTTGAAACTAATAATAATGAGAAGATAACCAACGATGTATTTCGATTTAACTCCAAGTAGGAGAGAAAAAAGACATCATGTATTTGATACCTCCTTATCCCCCAATATGTGGGTTTCAAAAACCTTTGATTGTTTTAGACCTACAACTCATATAAATAGCAACACTCGTATATTTCGATAAGCATGTTAATTCATTAATTCTTAAATAAATATTAAAAGGATGTGAATACAATTTATGGTTAAAATCATAAAATGCTTTATGTATTGGGGTTTTTTTGAGATTAACAACTCCAAGTACGAGAGAAAAAAAAACATCACATATTTGATACCTCCTTATGCCCTACTATGTGGGTTTCAAAAACATTTGATTGTTTTAGACCTACAATTCATATAAATTGCAACACTGGTATATTTCGGTAAGCACCTTAATTCATTAATTCTTAAATAAATATTAAAAGGATGTGAATACAAATTATGGTTAATATCATAAAATGCTTTATCTATCGGAGTTTTTTTGAGATTAAACCTCAATTTTTATTTTTCTTCTAAACAAAGACATTTTATTTTTAGTTTTCCGATTTTACTATAACCATTTTTGTCCTGAACAAAATATGTTAAATGTGACGATTTTTTTAGTAAATCCCTTAGCTATTAATTTCTTGCATTTTGACCCTTGGGCGCGAATACGTTGGACGTACACATTGGTACATCAGGCGTACTATAGTGACTGTTTGAGGCGGGGAATCCCTTACGTACAATGGGCGTACTCATGCATACGCAGGGCGTACACGAGCTAGGGGCAAACCTTAAATTTTAGGGTTTGCACTGTCACACCCCCAAACCGAGACGGCGGAAACATTCGGGGGCGGAGGACGTCATGTACAATATCATCACAATTGAATAATACTAATCAACGCAATAACAACCATTGTATTGAATATATATAGTGTTTACATTGTATTCGAAACATAACTTGAATGACTCCAAATGTATATAGTAAAAACTAAGACTAGAAGCTATTATGCTCCGTCTTCTTGAAAACCTACCCGTGTACCTGCCTACTGGTTTCCTGATAATACAAGTAATTTTGAAATAGCATCAACATTTAAGTTGGTGACTTCATAAGCATTTTGTTTTATACAATAAGTTATTTGCTCCTTATAACTGTTCGTATATTCCTCCAAAAAATCCTATATTTTCTTAGTAAAATGGAATGTAGTCTTAATCCCTTCAGACCAAAATGTATACATGTTATCGTATTTTTAAGTAGTAGTATTACGTAGATTTTTAATTTGTATAAAAACCATTTGAATACATGATTTCCGTAATGAAAGTTGTTTTGTACTTGAAAACAGTGTAATGTAGTTTTATGATGATATAACCCTTATGCATGCATGCTCTCGGGTAAATGTTACGCCAGCTATGTAAGTCTCTGTGCCATAAAATAGTGTACTCCTAGAAAGTCCTATAGCATCCATCTATAATTCCCTCAATGTATAAAGTTATATAAAAATCGAGATCGAATAAACTATCAAATATAATGGAGTTGCCCTAAGCCCACAACCACACAAGGAACATGATCTAAGGCGGACCCAACCATTTTCAAGTCGATCATGTCTGAATTTTATATAACCCTGTTGTGTACACGTAGCAATTATGGATGGAATCTAACCATTCTAGACGATATGTAGTCTTAACTACCCTAAGACCGATAAGATTGAATGTTTGTTCTTGGAAATAGTATACTTCGGTAGTACATAATTAGAAATTCTTTTCTTTGTAAACGTATTGTATGTTCAAGAAAAATCCAATATTTTCCTTATAGAATGAGTTGTAGTCTTAGAGCTCAAAGACTGAATTGTACAAGTATCTTCCATACCTACGATAGTATGTGCAGTTTTAAATAAATAAAACCATTATGAGTGTAGGAATCCCGTAAACTATATGTGTCGTTGACTCCCTATGTGAGTTATTATAACCATGCAATTGACATAGTAAGCCTATTACGATGTTCTTCAGGCGTCGGAATGTTTTGACATTTGTCACCCCAGACCTGCCGGTCTAGCTATTGTAAGCAACTTAGGGTGCGGGATTATCAGTCCCAATATAGATCTGTACACAACTATCACGCTCTCCCTACAAGAGATTATGGTTATAATACATGACTTTAAACAATACTCTAAGAGTACAATGAAGTAGTGTCTCATAAATTTGATCCAACGAGTTTACGTGTAGTGTGAATGAAACCCCTTTTTGAAATGTAAGAATCCTTGTAAACTATATGTGTTGTTGTTTCCCTGTGTGAGTTATTATAACCGTGCAATTGACATAGTAAGCCTGTTACGACGTTCTTCAGGCATCAGAATGTTTTGACATTTGTCACCCCAAACCTGCCGGTCTAGCTATTGTAAACAACTTTGGGTGCAGGATTGTCAGTCTCAATATAGATATATACACAAGTATCATGCTCTCCCTACAAGAGATTATGGTTATAATACAGGACTTTAAACAGTACTCTATGAGTACAATGAATTAGTGTCCTACAAATTTGACCCAACGAGTTTATGTGTAGAGTGAGTGAAACCTTCCTTAGTATGTTCATAGTGCTACTATACCATAAACTATACTTATTATAGTTTATCATATGTGTACTTTCCTTAGTATGTTTGTAGTGTTAATGTACCATAAACTATACCTATCATAGTTTATCATGTGTGTACTTTCCTTAGTATGTTCATAGTGGTAATATGCCATAAACTATACCTATTATATTTTATCATATGTGTACTTTCCTTAGTATGTTCATAGTGGTAATGTGTCATAAAATATACCTATCATAGTTTACCATGTGTCTTTGAAATGATGAAGGACCCTTAGGTGAGTGTCTATTTCCATTTCATGGAGGTAAACTAACATGAAATAAAATCAATATGCAGCTATTTATTGTTATACACTTTTCTCAATATGTTACAAAGTATTAATGAACATCTCAACTATTTTACTAGTATTACTTTTTCTGTCACTATTGTTGGAAAAATCAAGAAAAATCACTGTAAGTCAAAAACTAAATCCGTAAACTTTGGAAGTTTAGAAAACGTGTCTAGTTTCTTTATAATTTTTATTATGATTTTTAGGGGTTTCTAACCAATGCGAAAACATCCATCTTCACAGACTGGTCCGAAATCATTTCTGAAATGATAGGCAGTTTTGTAAAAATCGTCATAAATTGTAGAAAAATCGTATGAACATGTGCAAGTAGTAATTAGAAAGGTATAAACCTGAACTAATTGCATATTGAACAATTTTGAAAAACTATTAAGTTTAAGATGGTCAAAACAGTTCGTGAATAGACCATAACTTTTATGTTGAAGGTTGTTGATTTAGTTTAGAATATGTTTTGGATGTTGTAACTTGTACCCCTCCCCCCCCCCCCCCTTAAAACTTGAAGAAAACATGAAAATGTAGGATTATGAACTCACCTTCTGTGATTTCTTGAAGAATGGAAGGTTGAAGGTGAAGAGCTTCAAGTCAAGAACACTTGAAAGATGCTTGAAGATTTGAAGATCCTAGGAACAAATATGTGAATATTTGTGTAAATGATCACGATTTGTATGAATATTGTGTAGAAGTTTAGAGAATATACTTACCAATCCAAGGGAGGAAAGTTCATGAACTTCTTGGAGAAGTCGTGACTGAGAAAGAGGGGGGAGGGAGAGAAGTTTGCTTTTGGTGATAGTAAATGAAATCTTGAATGAGATAGTATGAAGATTTTCTTGTATGACTTTGATTAATGAAATCTGATGGAGTGTTGGGATGGGTTGAAAAGGACAATTATTTGAGTAGGTAGAATGTGAATCGTGACGTAAAGTTGATGTGGGGATGGCTTGGTGTCACCACTTTATGGGAAAAGTCAAAGAGTACATTTATGTCCTTTTGATCTTATCCTAAGATAAATAGTAAGATTTATATCTAATAAATCTCCAAGATGTGGATAAAATATGGGTTTGATGGTTTAAAATGATAAAAATACGAATTCAAGAGGTTCCTGCTGAGAGGGTTTGTTGCTGAGAAGGTTTGCATCAGGAGGTTCGCAGCCGAGAAGGTTCGCATCCAAGAGGTTCGTAGCCGAGAAGGTTCGCATCCAAGAGGTTCGCAGCCGAGAAGGTTCGCATCAGAAGGGTTTCGCATTAGAGGGTTTCGTTTCTTGAGAGGGTTTCGCATTAGAGGGTTTCGTTTCTTGAGGGTTTCGCACCCATGGTGTTGTTTTTCATATTTTCTTCCCGTTTCAAGTGTTTTTCAAATAATTGAAGGTTCGGGATGGCACATATGTTTATGAAAAGTTGAAAGAGATTTTGAGAGAGATTTGGGAGAGAGAGAGAGAGAGAGGTGGAGTGAGAGAGATTGAGAGAGATTTTACCGGTGGCCTTTAATAGTGTTTCGTCCCATATAGCAAGGTTTGTAGACCCCACTGTGACTCGTTATGAGTATTATATGCCCCCAAAGGGTACGTAATAGTGCTTTATGGAGTCGTTACATCACTCACCCTCCTTAGGGTTTA